TGGGGAGAGAAGTGCAGCAATGAAAGAATGGAAATCCAAAATCTCTGTAAATGCTCATTAACATTATTAAAAAGAAAATAAAGCTTAAGAAGAAAAACAGTATATATAAAAAAGAAATTTTTTAAAAAGTAACTTGGAAAAGTAATACATACAAATATTTCAAAAAAGTAACTTGATGGTGATGGCTGCACAACATTATCAACATAATTAATACCATTGAACCATAAACTAAAAATGTTTAACTTAGCAAATTTTACAGTTTTACACGTGTATATACATGTGTCGTGTGTGTGTGCATATGTGAGAGTTGCACTGCAATCCCAAAGGCACATGATTAAACCCACCAGTTGCTCTGTGAGAGAATGAAGGGCACTTTCCTCCCATTTCTTACTACTGGGCCACTAGAACTCAATGTGTGTCTGTGTCTGTGTGTGTGAGCTGTACTGCAATTCCAAAGGCACACAGTTCAAATCCACGGGTTGCTCTGCAGAAGAAAGATGAATAATTTCCTGCTGTACCATTTATTGTCTCTGAAAGCCCACTGCAGGGTTAGCTCAAGAGCACACAAAAACAACATGTGTATATGGTGAGTTGGTTCCAGCTCCCAGTGACCCCTCTATCAGGTTTCCAAGGTCATAAATCGTTAAGGAAGAGACTACCCATCTAATCCCATGGAGCTGCTGGTGGATTTGAACCACCAATCTTTCAGTTAGCAGCCCAATAAATTACACACTGTACTACAAAGCCCTTAAAACCATTATAGATAAACTTAATTATATATTAATATATAATTTAATTTTATATATTTATATATAATTATAATGTAATTACATATCTATATAGACACACACACACAGAGCACACTTCTAACTCAGTGACATTTGTTCATCAGATTGTTCAACTATCACCCTGTATGTTTTTATGTTATATATCTATATTTTACTGCAATCAAGTTAAAAAATAATAACTTGAGCTCTACTTCTCTCTGTAGAAAGAAACTTTCCCCTTCTCAGTCCATCTCCCAGGAGGGCCGTGGACGGTTCCAGCGGGGGTGCTCACCATGTCAGTTCCCAGGTCGATGCAGAGAATGGTTATGGTGCCCAGTGGCAGAGGAACACTGAGGATGATGAAGAGCAGGAAGGGCGTGATCTCAGGGATGTTGCTGGTCAGGGTGTAGGCGATGGATTTCTTCAGGTTGTCAAAGATCAGGCGGCCTAGGTCAGACAGTAAAGGGCCTATGAGGAGCCTGGGAAAACACACTTCCCATAAACCAGCTGCTGGACAGACAGATTGCCACAAAGCAGTGTTACCGCCATGAAACGGCCTGGAGATCCTGGATCTTGGTTGTCCCAGTTTGGGTTTTTATTTTTTCCTAAATTGTGTGATATTTTAAATTGTTTGTTTGTTGTTGTTATGTGCTATTGAGTCACTTGTGACTCATAGTGACCCTATATGTACAAGAGCCCTAAATGCCGTTCTATGCTGTGCCAACCTCACCATCTCAGACACACTCATTCCCACCACTCCACTCACAGAATCGATCCATCTCATCGAGGGTCTTCCTCTCCTGCGCTGTCTCTCCACTCTCCCAAACATGATGTCCCTCTCCAAGGACCAGTCCCTCCTTGCAACATGCCCAAAGTATGTCATTAGAGCCGTGATTTATTAACTTACTAGGTATAGTCTTTTTTTTAAAATTTATATAAGATAATTTTATTAGATACATTTAGATATCCTGAAGAAAGGCAAACTATTTTTTATAAAGATAATAAATAAATTATTAACAAACTTTGCCATCACTTATGAATATAGACCACCAGTGCTCCCCCGGTAACGTTAGCCATGTTAATGAAATCCAAGAACAAAGACTACACTACCCACACTACCATTGTTGAAGTCTATTCCCTCAGAAAAACAAAGTCAAACAACTAAATACATTGATGAATGATGTTAGAACAGAGAGAGAAGAATAACACAGATTGTTTACATTTCACTCCCAACTTCTTCTTATAAAATTATCTTGGGGCTGATTAAATACTAATCATAAAATATACTTTCAATTTTTAAAACTTTAGAGGAAAAATATTGCATAGTCCATTGGGATTTTCGCTACTAACTCCAAGCAGTGAGCTCTTTGGTATTTCAGATCTCCCAACTACTCCTAGAATAAAGATAGGTTATGGACTTGAATAGGCAGAGAGGTAGCACCTTTTACAAATGATTACAGAAAAGACAAGCATCTAGTATACCATCTCACTTTCCCTGTTGAACCTCAGTTCAATTTTTTTTTGTTTTTCTGTGTTTGTCTCAATCCGCAGAAAGGTCTTTGAGTAACATGTTTTTCAATTCCTAGTCAGGAAGTTCCAGTAACCTCTTTTTCCATGTAATATTTTCTTTTATTTTTTTTCCAATGCTTTTTAAAAATTTTATTCATTGTTGTACATTTTCCACCCCTCACTCACCTAGCCCACATCACAATGCACTTCTTGTTCTAGATTGTTCTCATACATATAATGCATAATCACATATTCTATTCTTTCCCCAACCCTCCCAAGTCTGTCCTATTTTATAACAGCAGTGTTATGCAGTATTTGTCCTTTTGTGACTGAGATAGTTCATTTAGCACAATGTCCTCAGAGCTCCCCCATGTTGTATGTTTTCTTGTTTTTCAATGCTCCATAATAGTCCATTGTGTGAATTTACCATATTGAAATTTTACCAATTGAGGTTTTAATGAAAGTTTATAAAGAACTTGATTTTCCAATCCTTTATTGTTGCACATTTTCCTCCCCCCCCTCCCTGCAGATTACTTTTTCCTTGGGGAAAAAGGTTTTTTCATTGTTATACAGTCACCCCATCCCACCCCAGACCCTTTTACTACACAGCTCTTATTATGGACTCTTGTCATGCCAATAATACCTAACCATATAATTCCTTTTATACTGTTCTCTCCCTCATCTCATTCAATGCCATATAGATTATTTATCCCCTCTTTTCTTAGTTTCCTCTCAGCCCCCATGTCAGTCCTGTTCTATAACAGTGGCATTATGCCAAATTTGTCTTTTTGTGACTGAGATAGTTCACTCAACATAATGTCCTCCATGGTCACCCATTTTGTATAATATTTCATTAGTTCTTTGTTTTTCAGTGCTGCATAATATTCCATCGTGTGAATATACCACAGCTTCTCTATCTATTCATTTGTTGATGGTAGGTAGTGTAGTCTTTGTTCTTGGATTTAATTAACATGACTAACGTTACCGGGGGAGCACTGGTGGTCTAGTGCTAGGGAGTTGTGTTGCCAATGCTAAGGTTGTTTGTTGTTGTTATGTGCCATCAAGTGGCTTGCGACTCATAGCAACCCTATGTACAAGATCCCTAAATGCTGTTCTATCCTGTGCCAAACTTGCCATCTCAAACACACTCATTGCCACCATTCCACTCACAGAATCGATCCATCTCATCAAGGGTCTTCCTCTTCTGCGCCATCCCTCCACACTCCCAAACATGATGTACCTCTCCAAGGACCAGTCCCTCCTTGCAACATGCCCAAAGTATGTCAGATGAAGCTTCAGAATCCTTGACTCCAAGGAGCATTCCAGCTTCACCCTCTCCAGGACAAACCTGTTTGTTCTCCTAGCAGTCCATGGTAAATTAAACACTCTTCTCCAGCACCACAGCTCAAAGGCATCAATTCTCTTTCTATCGTCTCTAGTCACTGTCCAACTCTCTGATGCATAGCACGTAATTGCAAAGACTATAGCCTGGATGAGGCACACCTTAGTCTCCAGCCTGACATCATTGCTCTTCAGTACTCTTGAGAGGTCCCTCACAGCTGACTTACCCAATGCAATTTGTCTCCTGATTTCCTGGCTGCTGTTACCAAGAGTGTTGACTGTGGAACCGAGTAAACTAAAACTGTTAACTATCTCAATCTCTTCACCATCCATACTGATGCACCCAATTGGCCCAGTGGTGACAATCTTTGTTTTCTTGATGTTGAGCTTCAATCCATATTGAAGACTGTAGTTCTTGACATTCTGCAGCAAGCGATTCAGGTCCTCCTCAGTTTCATCAAGCAGGGTTGTGTCATCAGTATAATGCAGGTTGTTAATGATTCTTCCACTAATCCTGATGCCACACTCCTCCTCGTACAGCCCGGTGTCTTGGATGATCTGTTCTGCATATTTTGAACCATCCACTGTCTCCCTGCTCTGTTCTGACGACTGCCTCTTGGTCCAAGTATAGGTTTTGCATTAGCACAATCAAATGATCTGGGATTCCCATTCTTCTCAGAGTTAGCCATAGCTTGTTGTGATCCACACAGTCAAAAGCCTTTGCATAGTCAATGAAGCACAGATAGACATTCCTCTGGTATTCTCTGCTTTCTGCCAAGATCCATCTAGCATTAGCTATAATATCCCTGGTACCATGACCTCTTCTAAATCCAGCCTGCACATCTGGTAGTTCTTTGTTGATATATTGTTCCAAACGTTTTTGGATAATTTTCAGCAGAATCTTGCTTGCATGTGATATCAATGATATTGTTCGATAATTTCCACACTCTGTTGGGTCACCTTTCTTTGGAATGGGGACAAATATAGATCTCTTCCAGTCAGTTGGCCAGCTAGCTGTCCTCCAGATTTCCTGGCACAAAACTTAGTGAGCACATCCAGGGCAGCGTCTGTGTGTTGAAATAAATCAATTGGTATGCTGTACAGGTAAGTGTGCTAAGATACATAGTTAGAATCCATCAGTTTTTCAGTGGCAGAAAGATGAGCAATCTCTTTCCATGCACTTAAACTGCCTCTGAAAACCTGCTGGAAGGTCAGCTATAGGTTGGTTCCAGCTTGAGTTTGTAGGAAGTTTCACCACTAACCAAAGGCTGTAACTTTCTAGTGGTTCAAATCCACATCAGTGGCTCGGAGGGAGAAAGATGGGCAATCTTAGCCGATAAAGCTTACAGCATAAGAAACCTGCTGGAGGGTCAGCTATGAGTCACTTCTGACTCCAAGGAATTTAGAAAGAATATTATCTATCTCTGATAGTTAAATAGAGCTGGGCCTGGTTAACGCTTAGAGATATCTGAGAGTGCCAATATATAAGTTGTTAGAAGCATAACCTGCAGTCAGGACTTCAAAAGATGAATTGCACTGGGAAAGTCTGCTGTCAGGACCTCTCTAGAGTGCTGAAGAGCAATGATGTCAGTCTGGAGACTAAGATGTGCCTGATCCAGATGAGGTCTTCACAATTTCTTGCTACGCATCACAGTGCTGGACAATAATTATAACTAAGGATAATAGGAAAAGGATTGATGCCTTTGAGTTGTGGTGCTGGAGAAGGGTGGTGAACATAATGTGGACTGCCAGGAGAACAAATAGGTCCATCCTGGTAAAACCAGGCTGCTCCCTGGAGGCCAAGATTTTGAAGCTCCATCTCACATACTTTGGGCATGTGGCCAGGAGGGACCAGTCCTTTGAGAGGAACATCACACTTGGAAGGGTAGAGGGAAAGTGCAGGAGAGGAAGACTTAGGATGAGATGGATTGACTCAGTGATTGGAAAAATGGGATTGGATCTGTTGAAGATAATGAGATTGGCTCAGGATAGGACAGGGTTCATTCAGAGTTGTTATTATACATAGGGTTGCTATGAGTTGCAGGTGACTCAAAGGTACATAACAACAAAGTTTAAGTGGAAAGAAACTGAACAGACTTAGATTCAAATCTTATTATCTGTCTTTCCCAGATTACTCTTTCAAGAATCTGGATTTTTGGGAGCGCTGGTGGCCTAGTGGCAAAAGCTGTACTGCAGTTTCAGAGGTATGCAGTTCAAATCCATCAGATGCTGTGCTGGAATAGGAGTGGCAATCTCTTCCTGCATCAGTCAGATCTGATTTGACGGCACACAAACAGAAGATGCTAAAGTAAGATTAAAAAAAAAATCAGGATTCTTGCACTTCCTCCTGTATTTTTTTCTTCCATTGAATTTGTCCTCTTTCTTAATTTAACGTATGTTTCTCACAATTAGAAAGTCCCATCAAGACAGAGATATATGTCTATCTGTCTCCACCATTGAATTCCCAGCATCTGATGGGAACAGTGCTTGGTATTCAAAAAAATCTGCTGAATTAAAGATTATAAAATGAGATCCCAAATTGAGCTCCCTTAATAAAGCTTCTTTGAGCTTAAAAGCAAACAAAAAGATTATAAAAT